CCGTTAAACAAGTCAATCATTTCACTCATCATGTTGTTATTGTAGTGGTGAAAAACCCATCATGCGGTTTCTATAGAGATTTTTTTTTAAATTAAGATGGATAAATAGAATATAAGATATTGTGTTGGATAATATGTACCTAGTCATGTACCAAAGATAGTCACTAGCATCATTTGTAATGTCTTTTTGGTCTACAAGACCCTTGGCTATGAGATCTCCGCTGCCTTTAAGAATGGTCTTTCGAGCAAACTCGGGTCTCCAAGTCCATTCCAGCTTCTCTGGCTTACTAGGGACTTCGGTCATGATCGACGTTTGAGTGTTCACTTTTGCCGTGTTGTAAGCCTCTTTCTTACAGTCTGGAAGAACACTCACGGACCAAGCCGGTACGCTGTAGTCATTCCCTTGGAAGTTTACCAAGGCATTCGCAGTTGCGTTCACATTACCGATGAAGCAGCTCGATCCTTCGTTTGTTGAGTAAACAGTCGCCTTTTTAGAGATAGATAAAACAAGTGTGTTAATGATAACAATGTCAACCTATAATTAATAAGGGGACAATATGTAAACACGACCGAGCCTAATTACCGTGACGGAGTTGCCAAGATCGACGGTGGAGATATTGCCATAAGTTAGGGGTTTCTCCATGGATTTCAAAAGTGTGTGAAGCTCTTTCAAATGACCCCATTTCGGCTGGTTCACGTTACCTAGCCAACCACGAAAAATATATCCTTAAGACCAACCTTTTGAAAGCAATTTGTATATGAAAAAAGTGAGAAGTTTTTATACCGTATTCATCAAGAGGAGCATGGTAATCATATGAAGTTGTGATGTAGGGACCTCCTGCGACTCTTCCGAAGTTAGTACCACCATGGTACTGTAAAAATTTAACAATTTATTTTTTAAAAGGTTAGAATTATGATTAATATATCATAGCAAATATAAATTGATTATTGTATGCATGTATAGTTGATACTAATTACCATGTAATAGTTTTGGAAAGTTCCTCCGGTTTGGAAGAATCTAGCAACGGAATAAGCAAGATCCTCAGCGGTTCTATAAGGATGTCTGCCTCCCCAATTCTTGAACCAGCCGGTCCAATTCTCTGTCCATATCTTTGGGCTGGTCGGGTTGGTTTGTTTGTATTGGTCACAGTAGAATCCATTACACGTCTCGATCATAGGCTGAGGAGCATTGGGTTGTTGGCACATAAGCCATGGAACACCAATGTCTAGAGAGTTAGCCATGTTTGCACACCAATCAACGTAGGCCTTACCCTCTGCTCCATACGATGAGATCACGTTCCCGTACTCGTTCTCGATCTGAAATATAAACGAATAAGTTAATTAAAATTATATGAGGCATTATCAAGGTTTTGATTAAAAACAATGTGTAATTGTATAATAAAAACAATCATCATAAAAGTACACTTTAGGAGTATATCATTTATTTACTCAACATATTCATAATCAGAGAATTAATTTATAACGTATAGGAAATTTTTTGAAGACAATAGAAATTATCATGATTGGATTGAAAAACTTTTGCTATAACATCTCTAAGAGTGTATACCTGAGCTAGGATTATTGGACCGCCTTGTGAAGCAAAGAGCTTCTCTTTCTTCATCATTTCTACGATCTTTGTAGTGAAATTTTGCATTTCATTCTGGATAAAGAGATTCAAAACACACATTAGAAGAAATTCAAGAAACCAACAAAATCTATATTTTGATCTAATCAAAGTTTGGGTTATACCATGAAACCAGAGTTAACCGTTCTGAATTCCATGTTAGGCATATTGTGCAACCACACCGGGAAGCCTCCATAATTCCATTCTGCGCAAACATAAGGTCCAATGCGCAGAACGGAATAGAGACCTTTGTCTTGGATGGTTTTGATGAAGCGAACAAGATCGAGATTTCCCGAAAAATCGTATTGCCTACGTACTGGCTCATGTACGTTCCAGAAAACGTAGGTCTCGATCGCATCTAAGCCACCATCCTTGGCTTTGCTGATCAGATTAGGCCACATCTGCAAACAAAAACCACAAAATATGTTACTTGTGAAAGAGAAACATGTATAAATTAAATGGTGTCTAAGTGTAGTAGTTACATCAGCAGTGCTTCGTGGGTAATGAATGGAGCCTGAAATTAGGATTCGGCGTTGTCCATCGATGGTGATGGCTCGATCATCATGAGAGACAATGGTTGAATAAGCCGAAGAGAATGAAGTAATGAGAATGAGGAGCAATAGTAAAAGACAAGTGAAGTGTTTCATTTTCGTGTTGTGTTTTTACCGTAGAACGTTTTGCTTTGGAATGATTTAGATGAGCTGCTTTTATAGTGGATTTGAGGGAACAATAAACTACTATTTTCAGATTAATTTGTTTAATCTAATAATTAAATTGATTTTTAGGATTGACTAGGTTAGTGAGATGAGGAAAAAAAGATATAAGAACATCTCCTATTAAGGTTTACCATTTCGTTAAATCATTATTCGTACTCTTTTGGATAAAAGTACTTCTTTTAGTTAATTAGAAAAAAAAATTTGCTGTTATAAACTGAAAGATAGAATTTAATTTTCGAGAATTTCTGCATTGAATATTTATGCATAAACCAATCTTGGGTGGATTTCATTTGATGTGTTTTTAATGAGTTATATTGATATTTGTGTATGGAACGGCTGTAAACTATTTTTGTTTTTCATTGGAGATAAACTTATCCAGTATCTTTAATAAATAGATTTTTAGGATTGACTAGGTTATAGAAATGACAAAATGTACAAAATTTCAAATTTAATTAAGCAACTTTTCTATTTCTAGGTTTTCAGGATTTGTAGGATTGACTAGGTTAGCTTCTTCTTTTTCACTGATTGACTAGGTTATTTCAGATTGAATTATCTTCTTCTTCTTTTTTATATAACAATTCAGAATTGAATTATCATTTCATAAACTTGTTAATTCGTGCCGGCAAGAGCAAAAAAAACTTGCTTGTTCGTATGCATGAAATCATTATTATTATAATTGTTGGAGTATTTAAATTTCGAGAAAAGGCATACTAACATGAAATAAATATTGATATTTTTATGACTTAATTTCATTATGTTTAAGAACATTGAGAAAAATAAAATACAATTTCAACATGTTATTTTGTACTACTTTCCCCCTAAAAGTTTAAACACTTAATTAATATCTTATTATTTGAAAATTTTAAATAGTATGAACTGCTTGAAAAATAAATACTAGATAATGTTGATCAGGCGAGCAAATTAGGGAAGACAAAAAAATAGGTTTTGTTTGCTTAACTTTGACCATAAAAGGAGGATTTTTAGATAAGGTTTTAACAAAAACAAACTAGTAAACTAATCTGCAGATCACGTTAGTTACATTTTCTTTTTCTGTAATAGATAAAAGGGATAAAAAGATGTAAGACGAAAAGTCACACTTAGCTTATAAAACGAGTGGCTAATAATTATATTTTTTTCAAAAACTCATTATTAAATCGTTCGGAGAAGTAAAAAATAAAGCTTAATTGGTGTAAGTTCGGTATCTGGTATCAAATATCAATACCATTTTTCTTTATGCATTAAGTGAATAGTAACAAATTTAAGGGATGTTTTGATCCTTTAGTAAGTCATTTCCTTAACCTTCAACAAGTTACTAGAACATGTCTTTTTACCTCCTATAACAAATTTATTACTAATTTGTGTAATGCATCTTTTAATACAATACCTACAAATTTTAAACTCCTATATAAGATCTGTAATCATAATTTTGAATGATTGATTTCAATGATAATTTTTAATGTTGCGGTAAGAAGTATATCAGTTTGATTATTACTAATCACAAAAATTAAAAATTAAAATATATTAATTGTATTAAAACTGTTATCATCATCATTGATGTCTTACTTC